CAGTTAGATCGCGGGGAGAGTCTGTAACCAGGAATGAAGCCTATCAACAGTTAGATCGCGGGGAGAGTCTGTAACCAGGAATGAAGCCTATCAACTGTTAGATCTACCAACCTACAAATCTCCTTGTTTACAAGGAAAGACTGCTCGATGTCTTACTGAACTCTATCTACAGGAACATGATAATTATTATAAACAGTAACAACAGAGAAGAGCAGCACTTAACTCTAACGACCCCAACAAAGTAAATTTTGGCATAAATTGTCTTGAGGTTTCCTAACTTTGGTTCACAAAAATTAAAACCACCCAGTTCCCATCACAATAACAAGCATAATGAAACTGTAGCCTCACAAGCCAGTGGCTATGTTCGGGCCTAGAGTAAAATTAAATGCTGAATATGAAACTGTATAATGCACATTGTCAGGTGCTTAATTAGTATTCCTCCCAAGTCCACTGTCTTCCCTCAAGATGATACTGAAATACCATTTACTCATTAAATAATGAAGAACTTCCTGATCCAATGGCGACAGCAGAGCATGTGGCCACAGTTACACAACCCAGTAACAGAAGAAAGCACCTGGAAATCTGGGAGAAAGCATAAAAAACTGCCTTAAAATATATGCTAATGTAGCATAGCTATATAAATCACTCAGTATTTATAACTCTTATTCTGTAATACCTAAGTATTCCAAAAGCTCTTAAGCTCAGTGAAATCACCAAAAACAAGACAAAATAGCAACAACAAAATCCCTGTGAAACCAGTTTAGCGCCACAGTTCAGTAGACAACACAACTATAAAGAGCTGGCCCTCGTATCCATGGGTCACATGCTCAAAGATACAGGCAACCAGGGACTGAAAATGTTAGGAAAAAATAAGCCAATCCCCAGGACACTGAGGGATAACAATACATCTATGAATTGTGCAAGCATCTAACAGGTTCCACATCTAAGAAACATGATTTTGAAATAGTATTTTACTTAAAGTCCTTTCTGTGTTCAAGAAGTATCTATATTACACTCTTTAAGAATTAGGGGTGTGGGCTCGGCGCCTGTGGCTCAAGCGGCTAAGGCGCCAGCCACATACACCTAAGGTGGCGGGTTCAAATCCCTGGCCCGGGCCCGCCAAACAACAGTGACGGCTGCAACCAAAAAATGGCCGGGCGTTGTGGTGGGCGCCTGTAGTCCCAGCTACTTGGGAGGCTGAGGCAGGAGACTCGCTTGAGCCCAGGAGTTGGAGGTTGCTGTGAGCTGTAATGCCATGGCACTCTACCCAGGGGGATAGCTTGAGACTCTGTCTAAAAAAAAAAGAATTAGGGGTGTGTTGTGGGTGGCGCCTATGGCTCAGTGAGTAGGGCCCGGACCCCATATACCATGGGTAGCGGGTTCAAACCCAGCCCTGGCCAAACTGCAACAACAACAACAAAAAATAGCTGGGCAATGCAGCAGGGGCCTGTAGTCCCAGTGAGGCATGAGAATCACCTAAGCCCAAGAGCTGGAGGTTGCTGTGAGCTGTGACACTACAGCACTCTACCGAGGGCAACAAAGAGAGACTCTGTCTTAAAAAAAAAAAAAAAAAGAATTAGGGGTGTGAAGGGAAGTTATCTTTCAGATGATTTCCAAAAAGGAAGAATTCTGTAGGCAATGCATAGAACAAGCATCTAATTCCCTTGCCAAGCATGGTGGCTCATGCCTATAATGCTAGCACTCTGGGAGGCCAAGGTGGGTAGATCCCTGGAGCTCTCAAGTTTGAGACCAGCCTGAGCCAGAGCGAGACCTTATCTCTAAAAAAAAAAAAAAAAAAAAAGCAGGGCACTGTGGCAGGCACCGGTAGTCACAGCTACTTGGGAGGCGGAGATAAGAGAATCACTTAAGCCCAAGATTTGGCGGTTGCTGTGAGCTGTGACGCCAAGGTACTCTATTGAGGGTGACAAAGTGATACTCTGTCAAAAAAAAAATCACAATAATTTGCTTTGCTCTTCATGTTTTTTGGTCCCTGTGCTAATCAGGTATTTGCGTTAGGAGAAAGACCATTCCTTCTCACAGTCCAGCTTCTCCTGCTGTGACTTCTAGTCACGTATATGCAGAACTGCGATTTGTAGCTATGGAAATATAGGTGATATCACTAATTTGGCATCTGAAGTTTCCTGAAGGAATAGCTGAGAAGAGGCAAAACTAAGAAAAAGAACCCCCAGTAAAACACAAATAGCTCCAGTCAGCAGCAAAACATGGCAAGAACTGTTCCGAAGTGGAAGGCAAAGTGATGCTAAGACTGCTGGAGGTCGTTTTCCTTACACCATAAAAGCTGGAATTTTAGGGGTGTGCTCCTTACAGAAGACGTCTGTGATGCTTGTTTACACTCACTAAGCAAACTCTATGATTTAAAAATATATACTAGTATTCTGCCTGAAATCTTAGCTGTCAAAAGTTGTAAAGCTCAACCATTTGAAGCATAAACAGTAACACAGAGCCAAATAATAAATTTTTACAGTAAGGGTTGCTAGGACCTAGCAAATTTTCCAAGGTGTACAATCGCAGGACAACATATGGGTATTTTCCCAAATGGAAACAAACAGTCTCAATTAGACCTCGCAGGGTTTGAGTTTCCAACTGCTTACTGAGGCCTATACCAGTGAAACAATGAGCTCCTTGGCTTAGTTTACTGCAGGCAAACAGCTTAGAAACAGGGGCATTTAAATTGACTTATTTTTATAAAGGCAATACATTTATTTAACAAATGTTTATTCAGCTCCTACCATGTACCGAGCACTGTTCTAGGGTCAAGGAATATGGTAGGGAACAAACCAGAGAAAATACCCACCCTCACTGAGATTATATGCTGATAAGAGAAAGCAGAAAAGAAACACAATTTGCAAAAAAAAATTATGTTCAATAATGACCAAGTGCTATGGAGAAAATAAAGCAAAGGAAGGTGTGGGGGGCTTTAATTCTGTGAACTACAGCTCCTAATATCACACAATTCTTCTGAGAAATAGGAGCAGTGCTGTGCCTCACTCTTTCCAATTCCTAATCCCAACTCCCCAGAGGCAACATTCTCCAATCTTGTAAGAGCTTCCTCCGGCATTTACTAGCATATTTCTAAACACTGTACTGATAGTGCTTGGTTCTCTGGTTTCAGACATTCCTGACCGACCTGCTGCTCTGTAGGCTGAAGATTCACTCTCACACCACGCCCACTGGCCCTACACATCCTTAAAAAGCACCTACTCTCCTCCACCTTCTCCAAATCACAATTCTCTGGGTAGTGAAGTTCAGGGTTCACCTCACAAAGGCTACACAAACATCATTCAGGGCAGAGCCACATAGTGTACCCCTCCCCCTATTCTTTCCTTGTCTAATCCATCCTCCAACTGTGAGGCTGCT